AATACTGGAGTTTAATTCGTTTCAGATGCTTGTCCAATAGATCAAGTTTAACTTTTACTCTTACTGTGCTAGGTCTTGATTGCTTTATCGACTGCAATTGGGCGTCCCGCTGCCGATACAATTGATAAAAGGGACTTCCTAGCAAGCAAACTGGTAGGCAAACCTGGCAGGGATAACTAAGCTAATGCTCTCGAAGTTTCTTCCTTGGGATTGAAAGAAAGAGTCTATGGAAAAGTTCTATAACATATTATTCACCATTAAAGTGAATATAACCATATTGATGCGATAAAATTGATATATAATAATCATATTGGTCGCAACGAATTAAAATATGTCTTGTAGCAGTAACCCAATCAAACATTGACCTTTGATAGGAAATGAATGCTTCGCAACTCATGGACTTCTGGTGCACCATACGAGAACTTCATCACAATGGCTTGTTGAAGTCCGTCTTCGGTAGCAAACTCATCTAATCCCTTAAACGTGAATTGTAGTGTTGACTCTCTACGTACATATTTGATCGATTTCAGTTGTGTTATTGGCAGAGATTGTGTAGGCATTTTAGATATGATTTTTGCAGCATATGTAGGTTTTGATACTGGCTCTCCCTCAGCCATAGGTTGGGGAGAGGACGACAAAGCCATGGAGAGCCTTAAGTCGCCATTCCAGTTGCCAAAAGATTAGATTTATGAATGTTTTATCTAAAAACTTCGGAATCATCATATCATCAAAAATAAAAAGAACTTGCTACATGGTATTTACTGACTCAAGGGTTAACTAGGATATGTGATGATCATATTACTGATTCTAAGTGTTGATTACTATATGTCATAATCATATTCGTTAAGAGTTACATATTGTTATTTAGAAACAAACAAAATTTGCAATTAAAATTCCTTTTATCGTTTTTGTTTTCGGAAGCTTATTATAAATACTAAACTTTTAAATACGGTATTTTATTATAACCCATGAATCGACATATCAATACCCATTATAAGTTGATATACATACACGGTATATTTCTATAAGCTCCATTTATTTAATTCTATATTATGGTAAGAACATGAAAATTTTTACAAACAATGTTGATTGAATTTTTCTTCATTATAAATATCGAATAATAGATCAAACTGATGTTTCGTATTTTTCTAAGTAAATTGTAATTTAATTATTATCCTATGATGTGGGATGTTGAAACTAATAGAAGATAAAGGCTATTAAAACTTGACCCCGTATAAATTCTTTATTAATTTAAACTACGTAAAATTGTTTGAAACAAATTTTAAAATGAAGCAAAATATATTCAATCACAAATAAAATATGAAAAAATATGTTTCCTTCGTTAAAAAAAGAATATTCTTCTTTCCTTTTTAGTTTGTTTAAAAAAGAATGACCTCTTTTTTTGGTCACGTGGCATGTTTAAGACCACAAGACTAAAGGATAGTTTTGTACATTTGACATAACTTTAATTTAAGACCACAAGATTCAAAAATCTTCTTTATTTTTATCAAACTCAATGTCGAATCAAACGAGGTCACTGTTTTTTAAACGGAGGGAGTAATGTTATTGATAAATATGTAGGTACAATTTTATTCCTTCCTCGATTCTTATCTCATTAAATTTATCCATGATTTGAGGATCATTAGTGGTATATTTCTTGAACTAAAATGATTTGAATTTGATCTCTTTATGAATAAAGAGTGCTAAAGTCTTTATCGGCATTAGTTAAGTGTCATTAGAACCAATATCGCTAAAGGCTTTAGGAACATATACAAAGAGTGACAATTGCCGCTAAAAATACATATTTAGCGGCAACTAAGAATTAAAATGCTGCTAATGGTCATTTTTATTGTAGTGATATAAGCATGAAATAGGTTATAGGGTTGATTAGCCTCAAAGAATCTTAATTGTAATTCGACACACCTTGTAGAGTCCCAACTTGAATTAAACACGTTTTGTAGAATCCCGAAAAAATTTCGTGTCTAAAAAAGTCTGCTACTTTAAGGCTTCTCGGAGTGTAAACTTGTTGAAACTCAAAGACGAAGGTTGAAATACTAATTCATCCACCTTTGTGGTTTTTTTTATTTCAGATTTGCAGATTTGATCTGTGAGTGAAGAGATGAAGGACATATTTGGTCCCATTGGGCATGCCAAATCTTTCTGCAACAAATTTTAAAGTAATACAAAATAAATTGAAATCACAAATAAAATACGAGGAAACATGACTTTATTGATAAAAATATGTAGATTTAATTTTGTTCTTCGCTTGATTCTTCTCTCATAAGATTTATCCATGATTCAAGGGTCGTTAATGACATATTTGTCAAATTAGAATTATTTGAATTTAATCTCTTTATGAATATTTCATGAATTTGCAAAATATTTGACATGTCCTTCTCATTTCAATGGAATATGGTACCCTTCATAAAGGCATGAACTAGGTTTTAGGGTTGAGTAGCCTTCAAGAATCCCTAATTGAAATTCAACACACCTTGTAGAGTCCTAACTCAAATTAATTACGTCTTGTAGAGTCCCACAAAATTTTAATGCCTACAAATATAATTAAAATATATTTCATATTATTTTTTTTGTACTTTGAGATCATTATCATCCAAAATAACTTGTTATATGGTATTTACTAGTCTAAGTATTGGTTACTATATGTCATGAGTATGTTCATTAAAAGTTGCATGTTATTATTGTTTAGAAACAACTACAATTTACATGAAATAGATAGAAAATGCTAATGCTTAAGACACTAAATAAGAAGCTTTCCTCGTAGAAAAAAATAATTGAAACAATGTACCATAATCAATTAGTTAAGAGATCTTATAATTTTTTACTTTAGTTAATTAAAAAAATTGGTACACTTTTGTTACCTAAAAAGAGAGGTTTCAATAGTCTGCCTCATGGGCAGATAATATTAATGGATATTTACTTTGAAAAGGGAATAGTAATTTCACATTATGATACATATATACACTTTGAAATATTTTGTATCTAATGCCGTATTTTAAAAGCCGAGGGCGCGTGTAAGAACCCGGAAGTCAATTGTAGAAATTCTTATAAATTATTATTTTATTTTTTCGATAGTTGTCCCGGGTCATCTTTTATCATTAGTGAAGTTGGTTTGAGAATATTATTGAAACATTGTGTTTATTTTTTAAATTTTGACACTACAAAAAAATGGGTGATTGTGGCGGCTATTTATATGTAATGCGGCGGTTTAAAACCGTCACAGTGTACTATAACTTGTTTTTGTGAAAATGTTGTAATCATGTCTTTCACTAATATTTTATGACGGTTTTTAAAAAATCGTAATAATATATAAAAAATCATCGTAATACATATATAAAATTATTACAATGTAGTATAACTGGTTTTTGTGAAAATGTTGTAGTTATGTCCGTCAAAATATTACGCCGATTTTAAAGAAATCATCATAATATATATACAAAAAATCATCGTAATACATATATAAGACCATCACAATATTCCTTTTTAAATGTGCAATTTTCTTCTATAGAGCAACGGTTCACAGCCATTGTAATAGTTAAAACGGGTAAATCATTTATATATTACCTCAGTTGAAAGATACTGTAATGTTCAATTGATGACGTCATAATAATAATATTTTCTAATTTTGTTAATCCATATTTATTGCACCCTATATATTTAAAATTCTATAATGAATAATTTGAATTAAAAAAAAGATCAAATGAGCAAAATATTGTTCACATTAAATAAAAGTACTCCAAAATTACATCATCAAAATACCGATGTTTCAAAGTGTTATTCAAAGCTATAAAATTACATCATCAAAATAGTATTAATTTCAAGTGTCATTCAACTAGATTATTCAAAAAATACAAACTAAAAGTGATTCCTAGTTAATGCTTAGTCATTCACCTACGTAGTGAAAAGATTTTGAAATACCATTTCTGTAAATCCTAATCCAGTAACCAATTATTCCTAAAAGAACTTTCCAAAAACGTTCTTTAAAATTGAACTTGAATCTATCATTGAGTAAAATAATAATGAATTTAAATCTTATACTTTAGAACCAAAAAGTATTTACAACCATTGACAAAATTTTCTACTAAATTGTTAGGTTTTAAAAGGTGTGAATGGAAAATGAAGATTGTGATTTTTATGAAGAGTTGCGACTTTATGAAAGGTTGCGCCTTTAATGAAAAGTTTATGACTTTTATGAAAAATTGCGACTTTTATGAAAAACTGCAAATTTTATGATAAGTTGCAACTTTTATGAAAAGTTGTGACTTTTAAGAAAGATGACGACCTTTTTGAAAGATTGTGACTTTTCCAAAGATTTGTGACGTTTTCGGTAAGGCACAATAAGAATTTTTTCGCAGTATCCTTTGTTTCCTATAAATTGAAGAATTTCTTACTCATTTTAAATATGGACTTCTTCTACTCTATTAAATCTAATATTCTAAGTGTACTTTATGTTTTATTCGAAAAATATTATTTTATAAGTTTTTGACATTTTTATGGAGTCGCCATTCTGTTTTATTTTGAAAAATATTATTTTATAAGTTTTTGACTTTTTTAGAGAGTTGCCACTTATTTTTAAAGAAAAATCAAGAAAACATAATTTTCAAAAAGATTTAAACGGAAAAACCTTAAGAAAACTTTAAAGGGGTTCGGAAATTCCTATTCATATTTTAAGAAGGTGTTTAAAGCACCCAAAATATCCGTTAATACGATTTTCCATCAACTAAAATATTTGGCTAAAATGATCTAACTTAAAATTTGTTTGAATTGAAAATTTATTTAGGAAATACCAAAATTTAAATACTAACCTATTATCTAAGTGAGTTAACAAGTTGCAAAAGTTATTTTAAGTTTATTTACTTGATTGACTTAAACGATAAAAATGAGGCAGCATTTTGCAGGAATTCGAGATTTAACCCTAAGACTAGCGACAATATTCAACAAATAAATATGATAAAGTAAGAGATAGAGAGAGAGAGAGAGAGTTGGGTAAATCCGAATTCTGTCCGACCGGACTGGTATTTCGACCTTTTTTGCTTGGTGTTTTTGAATCATTTCCCTTTTGTACCTGTCCTAAGTTTACAAGATAATAATAATACAAAGAGGTCTTAGGTCCAAAAATAACAAAATACAACATTTTGAAATTAAAATTGGGCTTTCTTGGCCAAAAATCTTCAACTTCTTCAACTCTTCCCACTTGGAATTTCCAAATTTTGACATATACGTCGATTTTGTAGGTGGAAGACTCGAGGGACAGAGGTTTGAGCCTTCGTGGCCCAAATAGGAAAATGTGGAGATAAGGTCCATGGGACCCGGACAAATTTCACATGTGAAACACAAAATGAAAATTAGTAAGTAAGAGTCCTATTCAATATAGGAAAACGCACTAATAAAAAGAATTTACGCTACCATGTTCTAAAATTTATATAGTACCATATTCTAATGTAAAAACACTAATAAGTACCCTATAACTGAAAAACTTAAATCCATGCTCAGATAGCACGTCGATGCCCGTTGACTTAATAATAATAATATATATATAAAAAAAAAGAAACTATAGCCGAAATTAAGAAGTTATAGACTTCTAGTAATAACTAAATCACTATGCTATTTGGAATCTCGCAACTATAATGACTCTATGACAATTAATTAGTGATCACTTGATTTAGACGGTCCTTTAGTTAAAATAGCAAGGCAACAACAAACATGAGAGGACAAATATACACTAACAATAGCAATTGGTACAGTAAATGCATCAATCGGTCGTACACAAATGAGGAATACAATTTACAGGCTATATTTAATCTTCGACTACTCATCGGTGGCTAATACGAGGAAAGCAGATGTTCTCCTGATGCCCATTCACAAATGTCGTCGACTCATTTAAAAGAGCAAAATTACAGTAAATGCATTATTCAACCAAGAAAATCACCATTAAATGCAAACCAGAAAATGTAGATATGAACAACATGCAAATTATGAATAAATCTATTTTTGGCTTCTGTTGGCTCTAAAATTCATGCTTGTTCTCATTTTGACATATAATAAAAAAATGAAAAATCAAAGATATGAGCAGCAAACAGAGACATCAGAATGGTCTTGCAGTAATACATTAAAATAGTCACGATTTGAAAATAAAGGCAACAAAAATCAGAATCTCACACACCCCACTTGCGAAGATTAATTAATTTTAAACTAAAGCAGAAGACGGAACTCCAAGGTCATTTTAAGTTGCGGAGCTTCTAATCTTAAGGACATAGTCGAGCATCGTCCTTGAGGACGACTTAAATCTATGCATCTTTTTTAGCATGCTTCACAGGAAAGAAAGATGAATAAAGACATAAAAAAAATGAAAAAAATCTAAGAAAGGTAGCATTAGAAAAAAGGAACGAAATAAACCAACTTGAAGCGGTAATTTAAACTACTTGGAATAAATATTTTTCAAATTTATTTCACCTGCATGAAATAAATCGAGATTATAACGAGTAACTAGACACAGAGGGTAACTATTAGCATGACTCACAACCGCCAGTGCAAGAAACACAGTGACATGAAAAATATCAACAAAGGTAAGTATGTATGCTTGAGGTGAGGAAGAAATCAAAAAGAAATTTCATCGAAAAGGGTAATGAGTAACAAAACGAATAACACACACAGAAACCATCACCGATTGGCAGTAAAAATAAATTGAAACAAATCTAAAAATTTTGACATAAGACGAACTCACAGTGACCAAAGCAGACATTCAACACATAAAGGAATATAGAGGAGATGAGCTGAAACGAAGTTACCTTTCGAAGTGCAGCGAAATGGAGACAACATGGGCAGAACGACAAGCTTCCACCACCACGATATGATTTCTATAACTCCGATGAACAGCTGGGAACAAAAAGAATCAAAGACTAAATCAGAATCTCGATCCCAAGAGAATTGTCCTAGATATTTTTATATAGTAGTGTTGCAAGAAATTTCTTCTTGTATCTTGCCTTTCAAAGCATGCTCGATTCCTATTATTTCCTCTAACTTTCTCTCTGTATCTCTTCTATTTTCAGCTTCTTTCTCTCTTGCTTCTAAAAAAATCCCTTTAACACTGAACAAGAGGAAGTATATATATCGAAAAAATTAGGGTTCGAAATAGGTGGGAAAAGACGACAAATCTGGTTCAAGGCCTATGAACTTGGGAATTCAAAAATCAAAAACCTTCAACAATCTGGACAAACAGCTTTTTTTGAGATTTCTACCCATTACCTAAGAAGGAATGACAAAATCAACGTCTAAGATCGACTTATCCATCCTTGGAAAGCGACGTGGTGCAGGCTCGTGGTGGAAAGGACGAATGACAGTCGAAATTGCGGAAAAACTGTACTAAATCGTACCAGCCTAAAGAAAGGAGACACGTCCTTTATCATTGGTGATTCGCCTTCCGTATTCCTCCATTAATTTGCTCGCGTGAAGAAGGTGGAGGCGCATCGGAATTTCTCACGCGCTCCGCTGGGGACGCCCTGAATTTGCTACTGTTTGACGTTGAAAATGCTGATGCGTCTTGAAGGATTTGTTGCAAAAGTTGCAATCTGGGATTTTTGTAAAAAAAAAAAAAGAAAATGCAGCGGGTCGGTATAATATTAAATTGGACTAGGAATAAAAGAGTGGATGTGAATGGGAATGGGTCATTTTGGTGTTGGGCTGGATGGGTTCGAAAGGATGTTGTCCTGTTTTTGTTTCCCCATATGAACAAGGGATTAGAGTTGGGTCGGGTTAGGAATGTTATAAAGAGCGGGCTAGGTGATTTGATATAGGTCATAGGGTAGGCTGCTCAAATTCAAAAGAAGGCCCAAATGAATCACAAAAAATGATCGCTTTATTAACCAAATTGAGTTCAGTTGACGAGTTTTGGTTAAAAATAATAAATTGAAATAAGACGAATTTATATGATTGACTAACAAGCTTTTTAATTTTAACAAAATAAAACAATAGACTCGATTATTAAGTAACTAACTTAAAGTAGGAACTAATTGCAATTATAATCAAAATTAAATCAAATTAGGGAATGTTAAAATGCAATTTTTGAGAAAACTTTCAAATAACAAAATGTTCTAATTATATATAAAATTATACAAAACATATATATTATCTAAAAGTTATAAAAAAAATAAAAACTTTAAAATAACTCGCAAAATATTTAAAACTTTATAAAAATTAATTTTTTCAAATCGTTTTAGAATTAACTCGCCAATTAATTATTATTGGGGAGAGTCGAAATTGGGTGTCAACACTTTACTGTCGTGAGTGGCTCGCTGACACCACCGTTTGGGTATCAATACACTGGTGATTGATATCATTCTACCCTATGAGGATATATTCCAAATCAAACCTCGGATACTAGAGGGATTAATTTCCTTAAGGGGACACTGTATATTCAGTGGGCTTGATCTTCTTTGTGTTTTTTTCAGATTCTGGTATGTGCTACAGATATTAGATTTGTGAACTAATTTCTGTTCTTTTGTTCTTAAATGGTTCATTAAACTTTTATAACTTCGTATTCCTACAAAGTTTGTTGTGTCAGTAAGATTTGTTAAACACAGATTGACAACAATTCTTCTTTAAGAAAAATATTTTGTATATTTTTGTTTAATCTGTTTGTGATTCTAGTTTCTCTACTAGTTTTAATTTTCTAGTTGTGAAAATATTCTTAAACTTTGTTGTGTCTGACAAAGTTCTTCTAATTTTTGTTCCAAGTATATTAGGAATACAAGATGAACAATATTCTTAAGGAAATTAATATAATGTTAGTATTTTCTTTATATTCTACTGATTGAGAGAATCTCATCATGGAAGTAGAAGAGAAATGCATTATTTCCCCATAATTCATTGCTTTGTTAGCAAGGTCGAAATAAGAATGTAACAAAAAAAATTGTAGTATTTTGGTTAAAGATTTTAGCAAGTAACCTTCTTATTATTTATCTAAGGAGGACCATAGTTTCTAAGAGTTAACAAGTTTGATTTTTTTATCATGTGTATCTTTGGAAAAAGATCTGCAAACTATATGTTGTAGAATGAATTCTTTTTTGGAAAATATTGTTGCCTTTAAATTCATTAGCTTGCAAAATGAGAGATGCACATTTTTGTTTGATAAAATAGTATGTCAAAATGTTATAGTTGGAAGGCAATTTGAAAAGAAAAACATTTTTGTGTGATAAAGAATATGTTTAATTTTGTTTGGAGACTAAAAAAAACTTTTGCAATTTTGTACTCCTTGTGAATTTGATTACGTGTGACTGTTGTGAATTAAAAACTTTTATAGTTTTCTACTCTGAATAAATTAGATTATGCAATTGATTTTAAGAATATGAAAATTTCACCTATTAAGTCTATGTTGTACTTTTGATATTCTATAAATTTCACTGTTATATAGAAACATTCTAAAGACTAAGTGGTATGTCTATTTGTGATAGAGGAAAAACACCAGTGGCATAGAATTGGTGAGTTTGTGCCTCTATATATGGAATTAACTTCGACACTATGTAAAGATTGTCAAAGTGAATTGAAACTCCATAATTCTTTCATAAAATAATATTTAAAAAAGATGTTTCATACTACCAATGACATTTTAATTTTCAGGGAAAATATGTAGAAAAACTAAATTTTTGAGATCACATTTAAAATGTGTTGGTTCTTTACTTACAATAAAAATAAAATTAGACTTGTGTCTAATTTAATTTTGGAGCAAAAGATATGAAATTCAATGATACTTTTGTATTGTGTTAGACCCACAAAATTTTTGGAGTATATTTGATATTGTGGTTGTTGAGTTTCTCTATTACTAGAATATGGTGTGACTAGCTACAAAATTATATATATATATATATATATATATATATATATATATATATATTA